CAACTTTCAAACCTCACGATCTCGCCGGAGAAAAAAAAAAAAAAAAATTAAACGAAAGAATTCCTCGGTACCCCTCGACGACTCACAGTCTCACATCAGACATCCCACACACTCCGCTCCCTCGAGCACGGGCTCGGCTGGGAATTCGACGGTGCCACGGGGACGGTCTTCGCAGGTCTCTCCATTTTCGCCCATTAGCCGCTATTACAGAACGTTTAGGCCCGCTTCGGGTTTCACGTGTGACTTTTCGGGACGATTAGATAAGGGACGAGCGCTGTACGAGGGATGAAACCACGCGACCCCTACAAAATCCAATGGTTTACAGCGTTGTACTTGTGTGGAGGTATATGGTTTTAGGAGCTGATCATCTTAGAATGAGGGACGGGCGAAGAAGGGTTGGGGGGGGGGGAAAGGACAGATATCCACAATAATTTATAACAATAATTTTTAAATATTAAAAATAATGCTGATAAATTAAGCAGACTCCCAGGATGCGTCTATAACTGATACAATATGCAACCAAAAAAAAAAAAAAATTCACTTTTTTTTTTTTAGATGACCAGAGGTCTTTTGAAAAAGAAGGCCAAAAAAATTAATATTCAAAATTAATCGAAGCATCCCTTAAATTTTTAAAAATATATAGACTATGCATATAAAATAGAGCGCCCGAATATAAATTTGTCCCCCCAATTTTTATTATTATTTTTTTTTTATTTTTTATCTGTGTCTGAGAGTTGACCCTAAGGGGGTACATCAACAGTAGGTTAACAGACGACTTTCTTTTACAATAAAAAAAATCCACTTTTTCAACAACAAAAATTCCATTCTTTTAAAAAAAAATCTATTTTTCCAACAAACAAACAAACAAACAAACAAACAAAAAAAGAAAGAAAGAAAAAAATCAGAAAGAAAATATGTATACTTTTAAACTCTTCAATTTCGATACGTAGCCTGTTTATTTTTTTTTATTAACATGTAAAATATTTTAAGGGCTTGCAAGTTTGTCGTTGTTGTCTGTGTGTGTGTGGTGGGGGGAGCTGTCTACGCAAGGGTTGTGGTAGGGGTGGTAGGGAGTTGTCTACGCAAGGGTAGTGACGGGGTTGTGTGGGATTGAACCCTGGCACACTAATCGAACACGCCCCTGCCAGCTTTGATTTAAGTGTCAAGGTGTAAGACCAGGTTCACACAATAACACGAGCCACGGGGGGGGGGGGAAGAGATAAGCCCCGAGCCCCGGTATCTTGAGCCAATTATTCAATTAACGGTGCGTGAGGATTCGGACGCAACGTTAATTAACCCGCCAGCCAAGTGCCAGGAGACTTATGGTTCAAATCCTTCGCCTCCCCGCGTACAAGACGGTCGGGGCCCCCACGGGTTGCCTAGACGCAACAAGGGGAGTTCGATAAAATAAACCATACCCTCTACCCCCACCCCCTTTTTTCGAGATACACACGCACGCAAGCATCCACGCTCTCCCTTCTCCCAGAAACGAGACTTTTTTGTCACCACAGAACGTAATTTAGAGGTTTCTTTAAAGAGCTTTCTGAAATAATTTTTCCATTAATAGTACGTCCTCTAAGAGTATGCTCTACTGTTCTTATATTGCCTCTCATAGTGTCCCTCATATTAACTCTCATATTGCCTCTCATCATGCCTCTCATATTGTCTCCATATTTTATCTCATATTGTCTCTCGTAATGTCTCCATATTGCCTCTCATATTGTCCCTCATATTGCTTCTCACATCGCCCCTCACATTGTCGCTCATATTGCCCCTCATAGTGTCTCTCATAGTGTCTCTCATATTGCCATCCACGCACACTCTACTGACTCTCGCAGTGCGTCCCATACTGACTCTCATTTGATGCCGTATGAGCGTCAGTTCACACGATCAAATTAACTTCACATTTCGCGTCAAATGTGTGCATAAACGCACTATTTTGTGCGTGGTGTCTTAGTTTTGTTGGAAAAAGAAAATGGGACTTTGATCAAATAGTAATTTGAAAGTTGTGACAAGGCCTCATACACAAATCGCATCAAATGCATGACCGAAAATTTGATCGTGTGAACTGACGCTTGCATTCACATCACGGACAAGTACACAACCGGAAGAAGCGATTCCGGGCTAAGGTACACAACAAGTATTGACATGACCACTGACCACCCAGCTGGTGAAAACACACAAACTCAAAGTTAACAACAATAACACAGTAAGTCCTGGCTAGGACAGCCGGACTGACCAGCTGACCATTGAAAAAAATAGCCAGAACCTGAATTTAGGGGGTTAAAAAAAAAGAGGGGGGGGCGCTCTTTTTTTTAAAACCCCTGAAAGACGTTGATGGGAAAGAGAGGAAGGATATTGAAGTGTAAGAGGTCAGCCTGGACACTCAATGACCACTGAATGACCACTGTGCTTTCTTGTCCGAAACCCTCGGCACTTTCTTAACGACTTCCTCGAGAGGTCTTTCACGCCCCTTGGGAAAGGCGTGGTGGCGCGCCGGTTGGAATTGTACTCGCGGGGGTGTCCACGAGAGGTCGTCGCCAGGCTCTAGAGCAAGTGTCATGGGTCTCTCCATCTACTTGAACGGCCCTCGTTACACCCTCGTCCTTTCACACTCACGGCTTCACCGTCCCTGCCTCTGCTGCCCCACCCCTACCCGATCTCTTCTCCCTCTTCCTCTCACTCTCTCTCTCTCTCTCTCTCTCTGTCGTTATCGCTTTCTCTTTCTCTCTCTCTTTCTTAGTCGACAAACTGGACCTATTTCCTCTTGTTGCTTCGTTGAAGTTATTTCCGAGTTCTGTTTCCTTAAACCTTGGAGACTTCATTTGTATAAACATTATTTCCGTACATTGTCCGACTCCCAAAGTCGAATACACAACAAATCTTCCAGTTCACTTCCGGTTTCAGTTTCCGAAACCACGCCTCTTTGACTTTATCAATTAAAAAGAAAACGGAAAATAACCACACACACACACACGCACCCACCCACCCACACACACCCACCCACCACCCACACCCACCCACACCCACCCACCCACCCACACACACCCACTCACACACACACACCCACCCACACACACCCACCCATACACACACCCCACACCCCCCTCACATACACACCCACCCACACACCCAACCCCCCCCCCCCC